TCCCAGCTCGAGGGGATATATTTCGCCCAGGTAGCAGCAAGCAGAGCACAACCCGCTATTCAGATTTCATCTGAACAGTGTGGGTGGGCATGGTGGAACATTCCCTATCTATTTGTTGTTCTCTTGAAACACATGAGATGTGTTTTGGCTTCCTTATTTGGAAGCATCTAATACTGTGAATCTCGTTAAAGATGCAACAAGCATGTGTGGTTCATTAGTACTACAGCTTGCATAGACATCAATTCTTCCTGGCAAAGATGCCAAAGTGCTCACGTGGCTCTGTGCATTTCCTAAGCAAGACCACTGTATGAATGCAGCACTCCATCCAATTTGATTTATCTACACCTATTTTGTCTTTAGATTTTCAAGTACTGGTTTCACATACCTACTGCTCAAGTTTACTGACAACCAATAAATGCTAAAGGGTACTTAAAAGCTACTAGAGATGCCAAAAGACCTTAAACAAAAAAAATCTTATGAACTTAACTGGAATGTTTCTTTTTTCTCATCAAGTGCAAACTGGATAAGTAATTTATCCTCTTATTCACTACTTGGACAAAAACCTAAAATGGAAACATTTCCAGTAAGAATCCCGTTCAATTAGAAATGTATACTACAGGTTCTACCTTGCTTCCTGCTCTAATGTCTGTCAATGTTTGTATCAGTTCAGACAGGAAGTGGCAAAAGCTCTCTCTCTTCTTGGGTATATCCAAATCCAGAGGAAACAAGGCCCTGGGCAACCTGCTCTAACATCACAGTTAGTCCCAATAGCAGCACGGGACTCAGGATGGCCTGCAGGGGTTCCTGCTATGACTGTATGTAGGCAAATGGCCAGCCCCAGCCTGACCCTAAACTAACAGGAAAAACAACAGCAGGAAACAGCCAGTCAGCCTCCAGCTAGTGCCAGGCTAATGAGATCTTAATATGAAAAATTAAGCAACATTTCAGACAGTAAAAGGAACATATCATGGACTCAACTTTGAAAACCAAAAGCAAACTTGCAAGTCTGCTTTTTTTTTTTTTTTTTGATTCTTTGGGGTGTGTTGAATGCATCTCCTCAAAGAGAACAGGTAATCTGACCATTTGACAATGGAAAGTATTTTGAGAGTCAACCTGAAAAGTGGATGCTTTTAACTATTTTAACTTGAAGGACTAATTAATATTTGGAGAGTGGGAGCTTTTTTTTTTTTAAGGTTCAGTGCTCAGCTACTCATTAAGCACAAAATTGCATCTTCAGTAATTGCTTGTAAAAGCTGAGAAAAAAAAGGTAAACATTTCTGTAGTACAAGCAAAAGTACATTGCAAAGCAAAGTATGAAATATCCTCTTATTTAGGAAAAGAAAAAATAGAAGTAACCACCCACTGTTTTTCAGCTCTTCCAGTTTGTCACCCTCTTGCCTTTATTTGTAGACTCCCTAGGCGACACACAAAGTACTGCCTGCAGAAATGAAGAGAACAGCTGTGAACGTACTGCAGGGTTGAGATGAGGAGGAAGGGAACCCCAATCTTTCTGCACCATGAGCGACCATTACATGACAGGGAAGGACCTTTTCTGCTGTGCAGCTCCGCTGGGTCCTGGCACCAACCCAGAGAACATGAAGTCAGGAGAGGTGGAAGGGAATTCAGAGGAACACGGCCATTTAACCAGCAAATGGAAACCAGAAAGGGGAAGCACCTTGTCCAGCATCACATGTGCAAGCACCATATAAACACTTTTAATGCAATGCTGTAACTGCAAAAGCTGAGAACTATTTCCAGGAGTCCAGGCTTACAATTCAACCAAGATAAGCTTTTTGATATAGCCAGCCAACATATTTTGCATGCAAATCATCTCAATCAAATCTGATTATCTGCTTGTACATATAAAATAATTTCCACTTCCTCATAAGACATTTTGAAAAAATATTAATTCATTTAACTATGAAATATTCTGTTCCAGAGGGATTTTTTGGCTATGAAAACAAAGTGACCTTTCATATTAACATTGATTCAAAATGATATTTTTATTTCATTTTGAAATGTCATTTTGTTTCTTTTTTTTAACCATGAAACCAAAATGAAATGACATTTTAACTTGAAATTCAATGAAAAGAACTGTGCATTCAAATGCCAAACTGAAATAAAAAGTCAATTCTCATTACATGTCTTTCCAGAACTTTAGACGCATGTATTTCTTACCTCAACTGAAAAATATTGTCCAAGACTTCTAATCTAAAATTTATATTGAAAAATATTGTTTTTTCCAAGAACCAACTGTTTCTGTTGTGGTTTAAATTCATGGATCAAAAGGATGATAAGGACATTGAACATTTGAGGTAGGAATGGTACTAATCCCCAAACTGTCGGTTCAGTTTTTTTCACACCCCCTGCCATGAGCTAAGAAACAAAATTTCATCCACCACCCTGCTTCCTCTTCATTCTGAAGCAACAGAAAGAAATTCTCGACATTTTGTCTGCATTTTGAGAATTTAAGTCATTTCTTTTGCTATCAGACTGATAAATCTATGAAAGCTCATCTCTCATGAAATACCACTTTCATGCCTTTTCTGACATTCAGTAGAAAACACTAAAAAGAATGAGTTTACTAGTGAGGCTACATTCATAATGGTATTCCTTTCATATACAGATTCATACTTATTACCTGTTTGTTTTTTTTCCTCAGTTGCTTACGTAGGAAAGATAACCCACTGTGTATGTAGATACGTAATGTAACTGATAAAGATGTCCAAGAAAGTTTTAGGATTTTAACAAGTATCCACATAATGGAGCAATCAAGCTAGGATTAAGATGAGAATTCCCAGATAACTCCAATCTCTTGACCTCGAAGCACACAGCCAGTATTTTTCTAGTTCAAGAAGGGTCCAAAGTGTCTACTTTACATGTGGTGTGTCAGACACCTGAGAGCACAAAGCCAAATCATGGAATTTTTTTAATGCTTTGACTTCTGACTTTCAGATCAACAGTTGCCCATGGCTTAGGGCAAGGAGGAAGTATGACTGGTTTAATGCAAACTCCTTAACTTCTTCCAAATGACTGGTGAAGGTCTGTACCATATACAAACTGGGCATCTGTTTTCCTTGGGTTCCTATTGCCCTGCCTTAAGAAAGGGAATCAAGCATTATTAATGTTTCTGGACAAATAAAAAGCTCAATGAAACAGAGATTGATCTCTGCATGCATGTTTTTATCCTTCTGTAAGGCTGCAGAGAGGATTATCATTTTATCTTTTGAAAAAAAAAAAAAGTAGAAAAATTTTTTAAGAAGAGCTGGAAGAGGGAAGCTAGAAAAAAAAATCCTATATTCTCATGGCAAGTGCCAGTGTCATTGCTGTCTCGCAGCACTTCACAGTCCTGCTACCACCTCCTTCTCCTGCTGCAGGATTCGGAAGCATTCCTGCTTAGTTTTTACAGCTCAATAACAGTGCAGATAAATGAGAAGATCACCACCACCACCTAACTGGTAACGGCTCTTGTTCACCAGGGAGGACGTGATCCATTATGAGCCACTATCATAAACCACCTTGGGTTGGAAGGGACCCCAAAGGCCATCTAGCTCCAACCGTTCTGAGCACCACCAGGGATTACACCACATCTTTTGCAGCTCCCTTTGTTCTGCTCTTACAGGACTGTGATCATAAACAGTTTTAGTACATTTCCTTATTCTTTCTTTCCTTCCTTTTTCTTTTCCTTGTTATTTCTCAAATATTAAAGGAAATAGTCCTTGATCAATATCTCTTCTTCCCACAATTTCAATTATTCCTTGAAAATTAAGTATTTATTTGGAAACATTTCTACAGAGGTTAGTCATCAGAAGTGATGGAAATGTTTCATTTTATACATATATTTGTGAAGTTATGTCAGTCTTTTTTAAAATGGGATTTTCTAGAGACTAATACTAGCAATACAAATCCTACTGAAATGCATTCACCCTTAATGATTTCTAAAGCTGCCTGTCAACGTGGCACATGATTATTTTCCTTAAAAAGATTCAAAGTGCAAACCTTGTCCTGACTGAATAGTCTATACTCCAAGTCATTCTCCTAACTACGACCTGTAACTCTTGTTTGTATTCTCCCCAGTAAAAGTATAAAAAAAAGTATAAATCTGAAACTAAAAGTAGCAGACAGGCATTGCAGCTCTGTTTTGGTTCTGGCCTTGCCCTGCAGCAATTGGGCTAACAGCTTTTCTGAAATGATCCCTTTTCTCCTACACAATTAAAGGAACCAAAAAAGTACTAGACAACACCTGAGCTTCACATGACATGAGTTTGTGAGACTCACCTACATATTTCCTTCCATCATACTGACCATGATAACTCACTTATCAGAATCAGACTAGTGAGCAACACTTAGGACAACACTCACATAGAAGATGTGGTGCAAGCTCTTGAATGTTCCTACAACCTACAAAGCACGTTGGACACTCAGCTACACAAAGGAGGTCTGCCTTAACGCACCCTGCTGGAACCAGATCTTTTTGTACAGGTACAGAAATGTTCAAAGGAGGCATCTGAGCCTAACTTCTAACTTCTCAGTCTTGCTGACCCAGCATCTATTTGCACTAAAGTTACACCACAGGCACTGAAACCAAAGACACCTCCAATCAGACATGCTGGTTCAGGATACACATCACTACATCCTCTAGTGCACACAGACAGGGCACAAACCAGGCATGCAACTGGCTCTGCAATACACTACCTGCCCTTTGCTAAGGTGTTTCCGTGCAAGCTATGTGCACAATCACCTATTTTGTCATCATTTTAAGGCAGAATTAAATACTTAATTCCAGTCCAGTTTATTAACCCCCTGAAAAGTTAACAGCGTGCTGCTGCAAGGACTTGATTTTTTTTTTCTAACCAGATTTCCATGGAAATGGTATTTCACTCACTGATTTTAATTGAATGCAATTGAATGATTGCATGCATCCTGATGTTTAAGGTAGGTTTTTCCCCCATAGAAAAACAGAACCAAACCAAAACAAAAAATCAGTTCAAGAATAAATATAAAATCATTGATTGTTTTATGTAGCGGAAGGGTAACATGTAAAACATCTGGACAAACAGATGCTTCTTCATTCAATATCTTATTAATAATTTCACACACTTCTTTCTTGTTGCTGCCAAACGACTTGAGAGTCAAATCACAGTGGTAGAAGACATCACCTGCAAATATCAACATAGCTGTCTCAAGTATCCCAAACATTTGGGTTTATCCTGTGTCTTGAACTGAAGTCCTGTCAAGTTCTGTGAACTAAGTTCAATCAATGTTGAAAAGACTTCAAATCAATACCTGAGTAACACAGAGAAGCATCAGTCAGTTAGCAGGTGATACTTTGTCATTTCAAAGCCTAGTATCTATGTTTTATATGTGTTGGGTATGGGGTGGGGGGGGAGGAGGGGTTGGAGCAGGTCTTGTTTTTGTTTTTAAAAAGGCAGAAAGTAAGATCCCAACTCCTGTCTGACAAATTTCCCCAGTTCATTTTGTTAGGAGAGTGCTATTGACCTAAACATGCCAGTCCAGTGCCAGCACTAATACTCTCTCAGCTCCCTAAAATCAGAACAAAGCTTCAGCTGGATATAGTGCTCATCAGAGAGCACACAGCTAAACAACTGCCAGTTTCTGTTCCAAAGGTGACTGCATATCAGTGCTGTGTGAAGTGACCCCTGCATCTTTCTTACATATTTCACAGAAATGTTATGTCTTGAGGCTTCAATTTTTTGTAATAGGAGATCACTGGATGAAAGATGGTTTGGGAGTATGAACCAAGATTAATATATTTCCATGCTTCCTGGAACGAGAATGAATACAAACTCTGTCACTGAAACACACTCAAGGCAGTGGAAGACATGCTTTTCTTAACTAATTCTGAGAGAGAAGGCAACAAAGATTTTGCTTTGTTCAACTAAACTAAACTGCAAGAAAACTTCCTTCAGAGAACTCTAACCAACCTTTTTGCTTAAGTGCAATCAGTCCGAACCTTCACCGGAATTCAGTAATTCTAGATGAGCAAATTAATAAATTATTTTAAATAAAGCATAAATGCTTTCTTCACTTCTTTCCACTCTGAGCAAAGGTGGTGATATTTTGGATACAACAGAGATCTTAAAACAAGAACAGATCACAAGAAAAATGGGTGAGTCTTTACCTACATAGTACTATGAATCTTTCGTTTGCTCGTTGCCAAGATTTACATATATTAGACTTCATAGACAGTTCTGTAAGTATACCATGACCACTGGCAGGTATGCTTAATAATGAACTATAAAACCATCTTGGTTTTATTTCTTCTGAAAATAGATCAGTCACCCTACGTTTTAGTGTATTTCCAAGTGCACAAATATGATTCCTCAAAACTTAAGACCAGGCACCGAGCCTAAATTGACATGGGAGATTCTATTGCCAAAATTAACAACTTCAGAGGGGAGGGAGGGATAGCATCAAGATATTCAATTTCAGTGCATTCACTCAGTGAATTGAGCTAAATCCTGTCCAAACTATGTACAGAAAGAGTGCAGTTCAGACTGACATGTTTGCTGGCAAACTGTTCATTAAAATGTAGGTCCACAGAGTTGTACTTCGATATGAATCACAGCATCAGAAAATAATTCAGGTTGGAAGGACTTCAGGAGGTCATCCCCACATACAATAGAATGCAGCTCTTTCCCCAGACTAAGTAGACTGCAGTACCAGTTATGGCACAAGAATTGATTTGTGTTTTTTTTTTTTAAATAAATTGAGTGTAATAGAAAGCGGACATACAAACAGATCAGCAACACAAGTCAACAAATGCATTCATTTAAAAGAAAATGTTTTCTCCTAGACCAATAAATTAAAAAGAAATACAACTTTTGTTATTACCGCACATGAAAGATGAGAAAGCTGGACCCTCTAACCTACACAGCTAAAATTATCAGGTCTTGCTCAGGGTCAGCATTTAATTTTTCCATTTCTGAACACGTGAAAAAGCTTCTATAGACCTAGAAAATCCAAAACCTCATTTTGAAATCAGGCACTATGAATTCTCTCTACTTATTTCAATTGCACCCCTTTCAATTTGACAGATGCTATTTCTTACATTTCTGTTATGAGATCTCCACTGTCATCTGAACATTTCTCTAGTTCAGAATTAATTTGCTAATATATTGAAGTGTTGGTGCATAATTCTCAGTGTTTGTGGCTGTTAGTTACAATGTTAGCTACATTGAAGTACATGGGCATGTACCTCATGTATTTATGAGGGGATAGTTCACCTTTCTCAGCATAATTCTTTTAAGTTACACGTTCAAAAATTTCTCCCTTCATGGAGAATTGCACACATACTTCATAGCTATTTAGCATAGGCTTTTGTGCTCCCTGATGGCCACCTTATACCAAAGCACTCCATTTATAAACAAACAAGTGTCAAAAGGAAGAGATGCATATTATTTCAGAATGTTGTCTAGAATATATCCCTGTTTTTAAGAACCTGAATTAGTAGCTTTTTTCTTTTAAAAATTTATCAGTTGGAAAAAAAGCCATTAAAAGCCCAGATCCAGAATATCCTAGTAATTATGAGATTCAGAAAATGTATGAATTTTGATCCAAACTCCATTAAATAGACAAAGTATCGCTATAAAGTATCAGAATAGGTCAAATACACCCAAAGCCTATCAGCCAAGAGGTTCAGTGCTGTGTAAGAAGCCATCATTTATCTTACAAAAATGGAAATCAGCTAAGGATGAAAGCTACACATTCAACAGCAGTTCTATGGATACATCTTGCATATATGAGAGTTATTTCTGCTATTAAAATTATTAATTCTCCTAATTCAAGTAACTCAGAGTTAGGTCTCTAGTATTTGTATTAAAGAATGTATTTTTTTTTTTCCATAGGTGTCTTTATTTAAAAACAGATACTACCCTTAATTCTGAGAAAATGATCAAATAGAGCTCAGTCACAGAATAATCCACTGTTAGTTTTCCCTAATAGGGAAACGCAAAATTCCCCTGCCAGCTTCTAGATCTACAGAACAAGAAAAGTAGTGAGATGATGCATCCCCATGTACCAATACTTTATTTCCACATCAGCTTAATCCTGAAGCGGTATCTGTTGCTGAATCAAGCATGACTAAACACAATGACAACTTTCTGCAGTAGCACATGAAACTTATTACACAAAACACAGAAAGCAACATATAACATAATTAGACAGTACTTTCAAACCCATTCTAAGTGTAAAAAGTAATTATTACAGAGCTAGAAATGTAACATGCTCCTGGAAAGAGAAAGGATAAGACACTCCTGAAAAAAAAAAAAACAGTAGTAAATAGGTTCTTTAAATGGCAAAACATACTGTAGTTAGTAAAGGGTCTCCTGAACATTTTCCTTTTCCACTGCAAATTCATTACCGTATTTGGTTTGCTAGGGCAGCATGCTTGCAGCATGCTTGAATTTGACACAACTAATGATGCCAAAAACTTCACAGAATGAACAAAAGCAGAAAAGGATTAAAAAGTAGATCTTGGAACCCCTGGATTTGACATACCACATGCTGTTTGAAACTGTTGGAAATACTGACTGCAGGAAGATTTACAGCATTGTTCATGAAGTTGCAGAATAAATTCAGAAAGCGGAGGAGATGCGAACAAAAGAATAAAAGGAATTAAAGTGCTGCTGGAAAGAAGATGAGACTGTTAAATGCAGTTACTGAAAATAAAAACAGCTGAATATGTCGCAAGTCAGAGAATTATGTTTTATAATATAAGTAAAATAATCAGATATTCTTACCAGAAGGAGTGCTGCATTTGATGTACTCTGATGAGAAACAGAGAAGTTTTCTCCTGAAAGAGCATAAAATAAAAAGGACATTAGGAAAATGGAGAGCCAAAGTGTTCCGTCAAAACATAAGTGATTTAGATTGTTTATGTAGCATTAGTATGGATTCACTCAGGAATAAGTATTCTTATTAATAATATAACATTCTTTTTAATAACAGTCTTATTCTGAATAGTATTTTTTCACCAAGTTCACATTAAGGCAGACATTTTCACAAGTGCAGAGCAGGTATTATGCCTGCTTATTTGCTATTTCTACTGCAGAGAGTCTAGGGTTCCAGCTGTGGACATGGAAAAGCTTGTGCTAATAACATAGAGACATAAAAAACAATAAATGTTAAAAAAAAAACAAACCTCATGTTCCTTACACCATAGAATTTCAGGTGCTGAGAATTAAGGGAAGAAAAAAGTCATGAGGTCTCATTTAATCTGAAAAGGATTTATATTCCTATCCTAAACTTGGCTGGCTAGTTTCAAACATTGAATAATTCAGCATTAATGCAGATAAGAGTCCATGTTTTCCCTGTTTATACTATGCTTTGTGGCTACACAATAAAAACACTTAACCAGCAACTAAAAAAGTGCGATGGAATGGTCAAGTGATGGGCAAGACACATTGGTGGTTCAAGCATGCTCACAGATGAGTCTACCAGATTTGTCACTCACTTTGTCCATTAGTTTAGTTTCTTAAAAAGAAGGTTCAGGCAAGAGACTGTTCGTACTCATCAGAAATTGACCTTTCGTCATTGTGTCCATCACTAGGTAAGAGCTTTTGTTATGAAACAGCACAGTTATCCTGTCATGCCAGCATGTTTAATGAAGCAGTCACATGCATTAATGGAGCATTATACTAGGGTTCAAATGCTGCCCTCACTAATGCAGAGGCTGTTCTGCTGCTCCATAAGAAGTCAGAAATGAGCCCTTCATGTCCACATTTCCCTTCTGCAGTCGCACCAATTTCTCTCATGCCAAAGACTTCCCATACTTGTATGGCTGCACTAACTCGATCAGGACACATGTCCTGTCAGACAGCCCTGTGAGAAGCCACATGTAAAAGCTGCTGCCTAGTGGTAAGCAGTAACTTGCTTTCACACACTGAAAGCAGAACAACTGCATTCATTTATTCAAGGGATTACCAGGTGCGAGATACATGTTTCACCCAGCAACTGAGGATCCCTTGTTCCATCTTCTGTGGCTCATCTTAACCCCACTTGCTAACCCATTTCCCCCCTCCATGTGCAAGACACTCAGCCATGTTCCAGGACCCACACTGCCCCTCCAGCCACTTGGCAAGCTTTCCTTTGGTCTGTTTCTACTATTCCTCTTTCCTGACTTAAGGCATTACTGATTAAACAGAAAAGGAAAAGCAATTGGTCTTTCTCCTGTAAAGATAAATATGAAGAAAACAATTAAGATGCCTGAGGTTTACTATAAACATTGCTGCTGCTGGTCTGTCGGATTCCTTCCGTGTTCCAGTGCTGCCTTACACTGTGCCCAACAGAAACAAGTGACAGATTTAGCAGCCGAGTCATTTTACTTTCATATGTGACAGTATTATGCAACAAACTGCATTATACATTAAATGCTGTGACAACATAATAGGCAAGGTGTATGTTTGGAAGAAAAATGAGTACCCTTTGTGTTTACCTAATGGCAGTTGGCTTTTGTTATCACTGTAGAAAACATGGTATCCTAACATAGGAACCCAGAGTACAAACCATTAAGGGGAATTGAAATGTGAAAAGGCTCCTGACCCTGGAAATAGTGTTTCTGAACCCATGAGTAAAGAAGAGTAAAGAAGTTCACACTACTCATGCATACCTCTTCCCTAAATGCAAACTGAACCAGTTGAGAACTACCACCATTATATTCTGGATGTTCTTAGTGCACAATTCAGAAATATCATCTATGTTCTAATCACCTCATATAAGAATTTTGCTTACTTGATACCTGATTCTGGGAAAAGGAAAAAAAAAAATCTTTCTGATATTACATTCAAGTTGTTAACAGTTATTTTACATAAAGCACATACCCTGAACAAATCTTCATTTGAAAATTTAAGGAATATAAACCCCTGGTTAAATCTGTATTAAAAGTACACAGAGAGCACAATTATGAAGTAGTTGTTACTAAATATATCGTTCACATCTCAGTTTTGAGATAGAACCTTTCCAGAAGAAATTAAATGAGAAAGTATATACTTAAGTTACAAATAAATGTCTAGATTTCCAGATGTGTTCTTCATGCTCCAACCATAGAGCCAAATAATTTATGTGAATTATTCAAGGATAAAATCAAATCAGCCAGATACTGAGTGGTGCATATATGTGCCAATCATTACTATTTCTCAACTTCCATTATTAATGAGATCAACATAAGGATAAGTGTGGTATTTCTTTCCCTTAAAGAATATTTGAAGTTTAGAAAATAAATTTAACTTCTGGAAATATGCTTTTTGTTCTTTCAAGCTCTTCAGGATACCTCACACATTGAGGTAGGTGTGGAAAACACAAAAGATGTGTTTCTTTTGTCACACTGCTTAGTAGAGTCTTTTGTTAATAGAGTGTTTTATCCAAGTATTTTATTTTATTTTTTTTAACCTGTTGAAGCAGAGAAATTACTATTGTTTGCGTTAGAGTTAAAAAATGACAGGAAAGCCTGCTTTTGTGCAGCTTCAGCAGTGTGGAATACAGTAAAAGAATTATGAAACTCAGAAATACTTGGTGGATTCCTAACAGCTACATGCATACTACAGTTACATAAAGCAGAAGTTACGTACATACAAAAATATAGCAAGACATGCACCAGAAATTCAAGTTGTGCATAAGTGAGCTTGGCAGTGGTTAATATGATTTCTAACATATTAGAAGAATGAGACACACAATCCCTTCTGAAAGTCCAGACAGATTGTACAAGCAATTTTAAAATATAGTCACACTCATCTCAGAATTACACAGAACTGACTCTTTCCAGACAAGGACAAAGCTCAAACTTTCCATGTTTCCTTGGAGACGTGTCAGAGACACACAGATGACATCCAAAAACAATTTTTTACCAGGTAAGGACCAAGCAGTACAAATGAACACACACTTATCAGAGCAGAGGGACACAGCCCTCTCCCTCCCCTCTGCTTGCCACCCCTCTGTTGATGCCGCAAAGGATGCAGCCGGCCTGCAGAGCTGCTGGCACACACTGCTGGCTCCCACTGAGCTTTTTGTCTATGGCATCCCTTTCTTCTTTTCTATCAATTGCACTGTTCAGCTTTGTGTCATCTGCAAACTTGCTGAGTGCACTCAATCCCACTCTGTGACACTGTTAAAGTTATTACAGGACAGAGCCCTACGGGACACCCATCGTCACCAGCCTGCACCTGGACATAGAGCCACTGATCACTACTCTAAGTACAGCCACACAGTCAATTTCCTGCCCACTGAACAGCTCAGCCTTCAAATCCATCTCTCCCCAATTTGGAGAGTGGGATGCCACGTGGGACCATGTCAAAGGCCTTACAGAAATCAAAGCAGATAGCATCAGTCAGTCTTCCCTTATCAACTGATGCAGTTGCTCCATCAGAGAAGGCCACCAGATTGTACAGGCATGATCTGCCCCAGTGAAGCCATGCTGGCTGTCTTGGGTCACCTCCTTGTCTTGCATGTGCCTTGACATGTCTTCCAGGAGGATCTTCTCCGTGATCTCACCAGGCACAGAGGTAAGGCTCATTGGTCTGTAGTTCCCCAGGTTTCTTTCTGCCTTTTTTTTTTTTTTTTTTTTTTTTAAAGTGGGAGTGATGTTCCCCTTTTTCCAGTCACCAGGGACTTTACCTGACTGACAGGACTTCACAAATACGATAAAGACCACTTGGTAACTCCATGAGCCTATTACTTCAGGCCCCTGGGATGCATAGAATCAGACCACATAGACTTGTACCTGTTCAGTTTCACCAGATGGACTCAAACCTTCTCTTTGCTTATAGTGAGAGGGACTTGGCTCCCCCAGCCTCCATCTATGGTTCAGGAAACAAAGACTTGGGAAGCCTGACTAGCAGTGAAGACTGAGGCAAAGTTGAGTACCTCAGCCTTCTGCATGTCTGCAGTTACCAGTTCTCCCTCCTAATTAATCAGAGGGGGAAACTCTCCCTGGTCTTTCTGTTCTGGCCAGTGTACCTCTAGAATCCCTTCTTGTTTTTCTTTGCATCCCTCACCAAGGTCAGTTCCACCTGTGCCTTCACTTTCCTAATTCATCTTTACACATCTGGATGGCATCCCTGTACTCTCCCCACGCCACATGTCCCTGCTTCCACTACCTGTGCATTTCCTTCTTACATCTCAGTTTGACCAGCAAGTCCTTGCTCCACCATGCCAGTTTCCTGCCTTGCCTGCTATAAACCAGAATTTCTCTTGCTCTATCTTATGCCAGGTCTCCTTTATCCTTTTGCTGTACAGTTCCAGAAGCCTATCTTGTCTCAGAATTCCCTTTAAGTAGTTGAATACAAACATGACCCTCCCCATATTCTCTTATAACAGAAAAGATTCAGCTCATCCAGGTTCAGTTCCATCATATTAGCATCTAATCAAAGGGAGCACGATATATAAGATTAATACTATGGAGTTTACAAGTTCATCAGTCATTGTGCCATCCTCGCTATCTGGTGTCTTTTTCTTCTGCTGCCACTGTGCAGCTCCATAACAAGTATAAGAGTGTGTGACCTTATTCAAAGAACAACTGCATAGCTGCAGAACACATCTGACCAAAGCAAAGCTGGATTCTAAATCAGGCTTGGATTCAAGCCCTATTTCTTTATGAGGATATCATTTGCTAGTCTTATTTAACCAATAACCAACTGAATAAGGAAAGAACACATAACAGAAACGCGGAACCATGAAAACCATGTGAAAACCTCTACAGGCTATCCATTACAAAAGCCCATCCATTCTCACCTACGACAGCCTGAGGACAGTAATATGAAATCAAATTGCAGAAGATGATGACAAAACCTTTTTCATGAG